GTTTGCCATTCACCCATTCCCACACACATTCATACAGTGCATCTATTAGCAGCATTTTTTAAAATTCTGTATAGGGTTTAGATGGGAAGACTGGGGATTGAACTTCTGACCTTCCGGTTGAAGCCACTCTACCCCTCAGCCACAGTCACCCCTTAAGGCCAGACAGGTTGCAAATTGTCTGTTTCAGTTGTTTTCACGGGTAGGCATACCTAGAGGGATCCTCACAAACTGCGGCACAAACTTCTTATCCAAATTGCTGCAGGAAGTCTATCAGTTGTTAAGGGTTAAAGGTATTAAGACCACCCCATACCACCCCAAGACAGACATACTGGTGGAGAGGTTTATTTCTAAAGAAAATGCTATGGAAGTTTGTGTCCCACACAGGCTCCGATTGGGACCAATGGTTGCCATACTGTGAGGTGCCACAGGCCTTAACAGGATTCTCACCATTCAAGCTTCTTTATGGTCGCCAAGTGAGGGTTCCGCTGGAAGCACTGGGAGAAGCCAGTTGCAGAGCAGGAGAATGTTGTTTCATATGTGGTGAAGATGAGAGAAAGACTTGAACAGATGATGGTACTTGCACAGGAGCACATGAGGATAGCGCAAGCCAACCAGAAGACATGGTATGACAGGAAGGCCAGGGAAAGGACGTTGCATCCAGGCCAGCAGGTGTTTTGACCAGGGTGAATAAAATAGCTTCAACCCTGAACTTAACCTGTATCGTGTGTTATGGATACATTTTAACAGTCCATTTTGTGGTCTGTATGAGATTGTTTTCCATGTTTTTACAGAGTTTTAAGAGAGTTTCTTCTTACTTTTAACAATGTTTATTAGTCCCTTTAACATAGTTTTAACTGAGAAGGTTTTAATCATGTAGCGGGCTACAACAAATGTAACAAAGCAAAGTGGCATTTTCTTAATTACCTCTCAGGTGAAGCAAAAATGGCAATTTACGTGAGCAGGAAAAACAGGTTAGAGAACAGAGAAGGGCAGGAAGCAAAGGCAGTGTGGCTGGTGAACCCAGAGGCAGACTTAACCATTAGGCAAAGGTCGGCTTTGCCTAATGCTTAAGCACCCCTAAAAAGATGTTAAATTCACCTATATGACCATGAGTATGTAATTACAATTTTGTTGTTTTCTTTTGGCTGTCCTATACTGCTATAACTAGTGAGAGAGTGCTTCTGGGCTCCTACATTCAACCTGCAGGCTTTAGAAAGAAAATTTTAATATACATATGGACAATATCAACAATGCTCTCACTTTCAGCTGAATACCCCTAGCCTCACCCTCCACTTAGAAACATGAAAAATACATGTGGAAGGAGGTTGTTAACAAAAGAGGAAAACTATTGAGTGATCTAAAGAGGCACCGTGTATGATTGAAGTAAAAAAATAATTTATAGTTTTGTACTTAAGTACATTTCAGAGCCTGTACTTTTTACTTTTAGTTGGTTAAAGGTTTTTGAATCAGTACTTTCTACTTTTTCTTTTTTTTACAGTATCTGCACTTTTACTTAAGTAAAGAATGGGAGTATTTTTGCCACCTCTGAAGTGAACTGCTGAGTCCTGTTTAGCCATCTGCTATCTGTTCAACCAACTAAATTATTCGTATCCATACAGAAGTTGCTATACTTATTGTTCATTAGAAAACAATTTACAATACAGTCCTAGAATTTAGCTTCAGCTCAATGTTTTTGATCACAAGAGTAAGATAACTA